GGGAGGGAGGGTTTGGGGGGCTGATAGCCTAGGGCAGCGGTTCTCAACCTGTGGGTCACGACCCCTTTGGCGGTCGAACGAACCCTTTCACGGGGTCGCCTAAGACCACCTGCATATCAGATATTTACATGACGATTCATAAGAGTAGCAACATTACAGTTATGAAGTAGCAACGCAAATAATTTCATGGTTGGCTCATAACATGAGGAACTGTATTTAAAGGGCCACAAGGTTGAGAACCACTGCAGCCTTCGTCTGCCAGCCGTTGGGACACATAGAAGTTCAGCTCTCCAGGGCTGCCAGGGTCCCTCAGGTCCAGGACCTGTGTCACCTGCACCTCCCCTGGGGACAGATGTGGGCTGATGTGAGGCCCAGCCTCCTGCTGAGGACTGAGGAATAGGTGTGGGGGTTTCGAGGGGTGGGAGGACAAAGGAAGCAGCATAGCCGCTGAGGAAGATGCGAAGAGAGGGACCCTCTCACAAACCACGGGTAGAACTTCCCGGATGTTTCCTGTCAGATTCCCATTCAGGACCTGCCAGTGGAATGTGTCCTGGACAGAGGTTACCAGTCAGAGACCCTTCAGGCCCCATTATTCTCCCAGATTTGGAGATCCTGGGCCCTCTGAGAAGCATTCCTTTTTTCCAGGTACTATTTATAACTGGCAGTCGAGTCTCCCCACCTTCTGTAAGAGGCTGCGCTGGGAGAGACACCAGGAGGGGCTAACACTCCAGGAGTGCAGAGGAATCACAGGGACAGGAGGCAGCACAGGACTGGGGTTCTACCTGCCGGGGGAACCCAGAAGTACTGGGGTTCAGCAATGCAGGTGTCAATGGGTTCCAGCAGTTGCCCGAGGTTCTCCTAGCACCATATTGGGTCTGGGACCTTCTACTCCCTCAGTTGGGACCTCTCCTCACAATCACAGGGCGAAGATCTCATAGGACAGGACTCCATACAATCTGTGATGACACATCTCCCCAACACTCAGAGAAAAGGGAGAAAACAGAATCAGAAGAAAAGAGAGATCAAAGAAAATGGAATTAGGAGAGAAGTGAGAGATCAGAGAAAAAGGAGAGATTCAGGAGAGAAGTGCAAGTTGAAAATACTTCAGAGAAAAGGGAACCTTTCAGACACTGTTGGTAGGAACATAAATTGGTGCAGTCTATGCAAACAGTATGGAGGTGCCTCAAAAAAATCAAAACTACATCTACCATGTGATCCAGCAATTCCTCTTCTGAGTATTTATCCAAAGAAATGAAATCGGTACTCAAACACATATTTGCACTCTCAAGTTCGTTGCAGCATTATTCACAGTAGCCAAGACATCGGAACAACTTCAGTGTCTAGCCGTGGATAAATGGATGAAGACACAGAACATACATACAATCGAGTATATCCAGCCACAATAAAGAACATCCTTCCATTTAGGATGTGGATGAACCTGGAGGACATTATGGTAGTGAAATAAGCCAGACTCAGAATGACAAATACTGTATGATCCCACTTTTGTATGGAATCAACTATTGAAATAGAAGCAGGGTAGAACAGTGGTTACTAGGGGCTGGGATAGGGGGAAATACGGTTAGTTTTAGTTATGCAAGATGGATAAGTACTGGAGATCTAGGGTACCACCATGTGACTAGTTACCTTTATCACATGCTTGAAATTTACTGAGCGCACCATAAGTGGCAGCCTTCCTGGGACCCCCAAGCACCTAACAGAAACCCCATTGAGTCCTTTTACCTAAAGAGTAAAGACAGAACAAGAGGCCAGACAACATGGACGGTCCATTTATTCAACAGCAGCTTTGAAAGTGACGTCTGTGGACTCTGAAGGGAGGAGTTTCCCAACTTCTACTTCACCCCTTTTCCCACACGTTTCTGTCCTCTGCAGGCTATAGCTTGACATAAGAGGCATGTCCTAGATGTACTTGTACACAACCTTTGAGGGCACAGTTTGGAGGTGCACCCGCACAGGGCACTTGTAGAAGTAGGACAGCAGAGTCTCACTATAGCCCACGAGGAAGTAGAACTTGTGCGCTGGCAGCTGCCTCAGCACCAGAGCACAGATCTCCACCTGGTTAGCTCGGCGCTTCAGGACAAGCTGGTCAGCCAGGCAGCCGGGGAAGGTGCCCAGCATAAACTTGCGAAGAAAAACATCCTCCACTGTTCGCTCTGCAGCGTGGTCCTCCCCATCCAGGTTACCTGAAGAGAGAAGGCACCACAGAATCAGCAAAGCTCCAAAAGCAAAGGGCACCCAATTCTACCAACCCTGCCCTTTCTCTTTTCTTCAATAAGTGGAATAAGAATAACACTTTAAAGTTCCAAGTACATTATTTCTCTAGACTCCCAAACTAGGTACCATCACTATCCTTATTTTACAAAAGGAAAGAATGAGGCCTTAGCCAGGATATAAAACTCAGATGATCAATCCATCTACTCCCTTTCCCACTCTTTCTTGACTGCCTTAGAGCACTGGTCATCCGACAGGCCAGAGATGAGGCCACCAACTCCTTCTGAGGTTTGGACATGAGCTTTCTCACAAGCCATGGTCATGGCCTACACCCAGTGGATTCTCATGGCTGCAACCCCTACACCTCTCACAATATCCACTGAATCTCCACACCCACCTAGACTTTAGAACCAGACCCTGGAAAGGGTGGGGGGACAAGAAACCTTGAAATAACTTCTCTAGGTAGATGCATCGTAAACATCCAAGTTGAAAACCCTCATACTACACAAAATACAGTTGATTATCATTAATTTACAGTAGTTCTGTTCTATAAAGTCACCGTGATCTATGAATTAGCAAAAACTAAACCATAGCTCCTGGGGAAATGCAGGGTTAGGCTCTGCAAGCGTTTGGTTCCATTATTTCTGTCAAAAGATCAATATATAACCTTGGTTTATGTGTTTCTACTTAAAGGTACTTCCTGCATTAAATGGGCTGATTAACACTGAACTCTCCCAAACACACTATAGCTCAGGCCTGAAGAAATCTACTCTGATAGGCACCTGCTCTCTGTAAAGTATATCACAGCTCCTTGAGCTCGGCATCACTGGCTTTTTTTAAAAAATATATTTTATTGATTTTTCACAGAGAGGAAGGGAGAGAGATAGTTAGAAACATCGATGAGAGAGAAACATCGATCAGCTGCCTCCTGCACATCCCCCACTGGGGATGTGCCCGCAACCCAGGCACATGCCCTTGACCGGAATCGAACCTGGGACCCTTCAGTCTGCAGGCCGAAGCTCTATCCACTGAGCCAAACCGGTTTCAGCCACTGGTTCTTTTAAGGCAGCAACGTCACCAACAAAACCCACAAAATTGTGAAAACATCTCGAAAAAGACACGTTTACTATAGGAAAACTGAAACAAGAGGGCAGAGCCAGGAAGGAGGCTTGACTTGAGGTGGTGAACAGACAATACAATATACAGATGATGTATCATACAATTGTACACCCAAAACCTATATAATTTTATTAACCAATGTTTCCCCAATAAATTCAATAAGATGTTTTTTAAAAATAAATAAATGTGAATAATTAAATTTAAAAAAAGAAGGCAGAGCCCAGCCAGCATGGCTCAGTGGTTGAGCACCGACCTATGAACAGGAGGTCACAGTTCAATTCCCGGTCAAGGCACAGGCCCGGGTGGCGGGCTCAGGCATCGGTGTGGGGTGTGCACGAGGCAGCCGATCCATGATTCTCTCTCGTCATTGACGTTTCTCTCTCTCCCTCTCCCTTCCTCTCTGAAATCAGTAAAAATATATTTTTTAAAAAGAGGGCAGAGCCCTGTTCAACCTCAGCTGGGAAGGTGCCCATGTCTGAGAATGATTGAGAAAGAGTCGAGAATAGGCAAATTCAAACACAGAATGAAGAAAATCTTTGGGAAATGGCGTTCTTTACAGCACCCTGTCCCACGAGTCCAGGTTGATTCTAAGGGGTTTCACTCCTTTCGTGGACTCTGAGCCACTCTGCGTCTCCGTCCATCACAGCTGACCGCGAGCAAGGCTTTAAAACAGTTTGTCTCCGCTCCGCACACAACTTCTGCGGGGGCTCAATGCGGTCCTTGCACCTTCTGTACCCTGTCAAGTACACTTCAACATTCCTGGTCCAGTCTCGGCTCTGCTTCTGCTCGGAGCGCGCTGGACTGGCTTTCCGACTCCGGCACCGACTACTGGTTGGAACAGAGCTTGACACGAGCTCATCTCCTGCCTGACAGTCACGACTGAGAACGCCTTCGCGGGGCCGGGGTCGCATCGCCAGCCTCCAGCTCACCTGTGTGCAGCGACAGCCAGCCCTTGCGGTGGGCGATGTAGTGAGGCGCGTGCGCCTCCTCGTAGGTCACGGGCTTGTCCCCTTTGCCCACTCGGACCCGGGCCGCCCGGTTCTAGGAGCAAAGAGCGGCCTAAGTCCGTGCGCAAGACTCGGGCTAAGAACGGGCCCGGCCCCACACCTCTCCCCACCCCCAAC